CAAATTCGGGGGAAGGGGGTTGGTCGGGGTGTCTATTACTGAACCAATAGGGCAGAAGCCTGCAGGAGGGAGGAATAAGATAAGTATCCCTCTGCTATCAGCTTTAAAATAATTCTCTTTATTGTCTAAACTTGTCTTCTACCGAACAAAATTATGACAAATATATCAATAATGTATCTACAATTGTATCCGTCTTTTCTCCTTATGGTAATGGTATCATTGCAGCCTACTGAGGACATCTAGTGGTCAGAGTGTTGAATGACATCTATCATAGAAGCCTATTCCCATCTCATACTACCGGTTCCATAGAGTACTGCAAGAATTACATTTCTTTGGGGTCTGTTTATTAATGTGTTCACCAAAGATTGCACACAACTTTCACCCAAGATTCACCAAGGACACTGATGCCATCACTTCTAATGCAGATCTATTGACTTGCATGAGGATAGCGGGGGGGGGCATTCCATAGCCAGAACGGAGCGCTGATGTCACGATACCGTGCACTGGTGTCCCCACACCGCATGCAGGTATCTATACGGGAGGACCAAATGTGTGACCACACAAGACAATGTTTATGAGCTTACAGTTTATTAGGCACACCGAAATCAAGTAACCACAAACAACCCCGCCAACACCCACAAGCAGCAAATAATAGCCTACAAAATGCAAACAACAAAGCCACACACTAAATGTAACAGGGCAAGGGAACCTGGGGAGCAAGACAACACAAGGGGAGCCACGGACCAATGGTCAGGGTACTATGGGGCACCAGGACGCAGGTAATGGTGACAGTATTGTGGCACCAGGCTCATTGCAGGGAGGGATTAACCCCTTCATGGCAGGCCTTGTTTTCATTTTTTGCACCCATGTTATATTCCACATTTTAGGCCTGAAAATTACTTAAAACCCCCAAACATATATTTTCTGAATGCCAAGACCCTATACAATATAATGGTGGTAGTTGCAAATTTTCATGTTGCGCAATATTAGCGCAACTCCTTATTAAACACCAAACTTTAGTGATAAATTTAATTAAATGCCCCAAAATACAACAAAATACCCATTTTTTAAATGAAATATAAAAGATGAGGTTACAACGAGTAAAACGATACCCAACATGCCCAGTACCCCAAAAAGTCCACAGAAGACGCTTTAAAAGCCCCCACAGGTCATCAATTTAGAGATATCCCAAAATACTGGCTCTAGAATTATTGCTCTCACTCCGGCGTGCGCGGCGATACCCAACATGTGTAGCGCGTTCGTCGTTTTCATACGTAGGCGCACCCGACGCGTGTTTACGTGGCGACGTGAGTGCTCATGGGGTTGGGGGACTTTTACATTTTTTTAATTATTATTATTATTATTAGATTTATTTGATTTGATTTTAATTTTAAAAAATGTTTTTGTTTTTGTTTTTACTTTACTTTGACTGCTATCACATGGGGGGGCTTACAAGCCCCCCCATGTAATAGCAGATGGTGGTGACAGGTCCTCTTTAAGGTGATGCTGGGGGTCCAAAAGACCCCCAGTGTCACCTTTACACTAGAAATGAGCTATTGAAGTGCAGATCGCACTTCAATAGCTTAGACCTGGGCTGCAGGAGCCCAGAACTGACAGCCCAGGGACCGGAAGTGATGCAATCTGCATCGCTCCCGGTCCCATAGAACGGGGAGGGGATCGATGAACGGAAGTTCGTCGACCTCCTCCCCAGCTCCCCGCGGACACCCCGATGCTGGCGACGTACACTGTACGTCGTCAGTCACGAAGGGGTTAAATACCCTCCCATGTCAGCAGCAGGTGGTGCCTAATTGCTGACACCTGCAGGTGAGCCCTGGAAGTGCAGGACCTGGTTCCAGAGTCCCAGTGCCACCTGGAGGCGCTCAGGTCCCCGACAGCCACTGGCTGCCTGGAGACACCAGCAGGGGAGCACAGGAACTGCCGGATCTGGTCCAGCGCCGCCTGGGAGGTGTTCGGATCCCTGACAGCTGACCGCTGTAGGGACTTTATTTGCACCCCCTAGACCAGAGCAAGCACGTAACCCTTGCAGTGCGGGTTTATAAAATCTCAGAGTTCTTCTTTACAATCCTATACATGTCTTCCTGACATAGTACTGGCAATGGCTTACCCTCTCTGGAGATTTAACCCTTCCATTTGCCTTGTATGCTAATTTACTTCATTCCAACTCATGACATTCCGCAAAATGTTTGGCCACCCCAATATTTCTCCCTACTCTAATAGGACGGCATAGAAGTGAATGCCAATGCATCAAATTGCATATAACATGACTTTTGATGCGTTGGAAAGAGGTTTTCTCCTTTAACTGCCGTTTTTCTACTACAGCCGGCCCGGAGTTCTCTAGATCTGAGCGGGCGTCTTTAGACGTCCGCTCAGACACGTCCCCTCGCGCGCGTCCGCTCGGCGCGCCCGAACGGGAAATTGCCGTTTTTTTTAAAAACAGGCAGCGATGCCTGATACCATACAAGAGATCCGCCGGCTTTAGAGCCGGCGGATCGCGTGTATGGGGTGCCGATCGGTGCCCCCCCCCCAGGCGTTAAAGTTTTCTGCGATTTTCGCGGGTGCGCGCAATTTTAAAGCTTGACATGTTTGATGTCTATTTACCCGACGTGACCCGATCTTTTATATTTTACCAAAAAACTGGGTAATAATAAATGTTTCCTGACATAGTGTAAAAAAAAAAATTCTGTAATTTTTCCTAATTATAATAAAAAATAAAACCCCCAGTGGTGATTAAATACCACCAAAATAAAGCTCTATCTGTCCCCAAAAAATGGTATAAAATTCATTTCAGTGCAGCGTTGCATGACGGAATAAACGTCAGTCAAAGTACCGCAGCGCTGAAAAATGGCCTGGCCAGGAAGGGGTTCTAAACACCTGGTCTTGAAGTGGTTAACAATGTTTTTCCTTCAATGGAGGATCTGGAGCTGGTCAATGGAGATCTTGTGCACCCCTGAAGGAACAGAGCAGTTCTCATAGTGATCTATTGTTCCCTGGTATCATTGAGCAGTGGATGAGTCTTGAAGGGATGTGTTACTGCAGGGAAAGGAAGGATGGAGCCCTGGCCCAGGTCACTGCAACTGGACCTACAGGAAAGTCTTGATGATGTCACAGATGACATGATTGGTTCTATGCTATGGAGTGCCACCCTGCTAGGGAGCACAAGCCCAGGATCGATTACAGCACTCCAGCCAGTCGGGGCCGCAGGCGCTCATTATGCAGCCCGGTGTACTGCAGCCCTGAGTTGAAGTTGGGAGCACAGCTGGTTGCACACCGAGCCCGCCAGCCTCATGTTGGGTACCTCGGATGTAGGGAATTGTAACTTCATGAAGTGGATAACATCTCAACTGGTTATTTTTAATTGATCACAACATTGATTTTACTGTTGGCCACATTTAAAAAGCTCCATTCGCATCTCACCAATTTTATTAGATTCTCCTCCAAACTTGGAGCTACATACAGTACACCTCTAAAGTGGGAGCCTTCCTTCTCACCAGGCCTGCTGATAATGGGGTACAAGCAGTATTCCTGTACAGGGTCCCGGACCCCATCAGGGCTAGGGCCTGGCACGGGCTGTCTTCCTCCCAGCATCCCTCTTACCTTCCCGTCCTATTGGGTGCTTTACAGCAAATTACTGGTGCATTATGGGGTGAGATTCCCCCGGGAACTGCAGAATGCGGTACACTCTTCAGTAGTCACAGGACTCTGGAAGAGCAAGCCCCCCTTTTTTTTCCATCTCTCTGTTTAGGGGAAGGAGGCCTGGGTTAGGGCCCCCGGGCTAGGCTGTTTAGAGGCAGGAAGCCTGGGCGAGGGCCCCTGGGCTGTGCACACAGAGGCAACTGGGGTAGCTCCTAGCCTCTGTGAGGAGACACCATGCATGGGGTAGGAATGCTTAAAGTTTATAGGGAGACACTGCGGAGGGGGTTAAAATTGTATTTAAAGACATGGGGAGGGGGG